TCATTATGCCTATGTTCTTGCAGGAGCTTCTGAAGAAAACATCAGGGGCTTGTTTCAGAAGGCCTATCGGACTGCTCCCTCGATTGTATTTATTGATGAGATAGATGCAATTGCATCCAAGAGGGAGAATCTGCAACGAGAGATGGAACGGCGTATAGTTACTCAATTAATGACGTGCATGGATCAATTCCACCAGAATATTGGATCGGGCAGTGTCAATTTGGATGCTGAGTCATCTGAAAAGAAACCTGGTTATGTTATTGTCATTGGAGCCACAAATAGGCCTGATGCTGTGGATCAAGCTCTGCGAAGGCCAGGAAGGTTTGACCGAGAGATATCTCTTGGTGTTCCAGATGAGAATGCACGAAAACAAATACTGAAGATGCTTACTCAGCAGCTTCGACTTGAAGGCGAATTTGACTTGTTCAAGATAGCTAGGGCGACACCAGGTTTTGTTGGTGCTGACTTGAAGGCATTAGTGGATAAAGCAGGGAATCTAGCAATGAAGAGAATAATTGATGAAAGAAGAGTTCAATATCGCCGTGAGCATGATGGGAATAGCAAGCATGACTGGTGGAGACAACCCTGGGATGAAAGTGAGGTGGAGGGCCTACATATTACTATGGATGATTTTGAGGCAAGCTTTGCACCTTTTCTATGAACAGCACATGTCCAATAACTCTGTTAATTTCATCCAGTGTAAGCTAGATTTGGATTATGCCTTGATCCATTTTTCCCAAAAACCTTTTATCTTCTTATTTTGTTAATTTTTAGGACATGTCTTTCCCCAGTAACCTTTGTATTTTTCACTTTTAATTTAGATTTAATGTCATCTAAGCTGCTACAATTTGCAACATGATCGATTTATTTTCTTTTCATGCCACCTCTGTATATCATGGCCATGCCTTTCCCTCTAGTTCTATTCTGTTGTTATATTTTTATCAGATCCATGGACTATTATTTTTAATAATCTTCTCTTCACTATCTGAAGGAAGCAACAAAAATGGTTCAGCCATCTTTGAGAAGAGAAGGGTTTTCTTCTGTCCCTGATGTCACATGGGATGATGTTGGAGGTCTTGATTCATTAAGAAAAGAGTTTGACCGCTGTATTATTCGTTGTATCAAGCACCCTGAAGACTATGAGGTGAATGCTGAATTGAATTTACTGCCTCAGAAGTTTATTTTACAATTCTTATTTCTGTATCATGTCTAGTCATCAACTTTGTGATACCGTAGAAGTTGAGAGAACTTGATTATTTCTCAATAAGTTCATTCACAGCCATACTGTTTATTTATTTTCAATAACTGTTAACCTTTTGTATTTACATTTGAGTATTGTTTTCATGCCCTCTTTGTTTCGTGTCTTTCAAGGTGTTTGGAGTGAATATGCAAGCTGGCTTCCTGTTGTTTGGACCTCCTGGTTGTGGAAAAACACTAATAGCAAAAGCAGTGGCACATGAGGCAGGGGCTAATTTTATTCACATCAAGGTAGTTGATGCTTACATATTTTCACATCAGCTTTTCAATGCCATACAAAGTAGTTCTAAGCTTTTTCTTTATCTGGTTCATTAGGGGCCTGAGCTATTGAACAAGTATGTTGGGGAGAGTGAATCGGAAGTTAGGAAAATATTCACTCGTGCACGGACTAACTCCCCATGCATCCTATTTTTCGATGAGGTAAGAAATCGCATGCAGCCTGCCCTGTAATACATTATGTTGAGGAAAACCTGTATCGATTGCTTTTGCTTCAAACAAGTTTGGGATGTTTGATGCATTTATTGTACTTAGTAACAAAGCAACATGGTTTGGAGAACTGTATCTCTTGGTATGGTGTTCAAGTTCTTATTCCATATGATGTGGCAGGTTGATGCTTTGACAACAAAGAGAGGGAAAGAGGGAGGATGGGTTGTTGAACGTCTCTTAAATCAGGTTTGAGTATTGTACTAGTTTGTGCACTTCTTCATTCCTTTGCATTGCTTTTCTGTTCTGTGTTATTCATATTCTTCTGTTCGCAGTTGCTTATCGAACTTGATGGTGCTGATCAAAGACAAGGTGTCTATGTGATAGGAGCTACAAACAGGTAATTGTCAGCAGCGGACTGGTCTACCATTTTACATCTTTATCCCTGAATATATTATTGATACCTGCAGCCCCTTTCTGGTGTAGGATTGATGTGATAGATGATGCTGTTTTACGGCCTGGTAGATTTGGAAAGAAACATTATGTACCTTTACCTGGTGCCGACGAGCGGGTTTCAATATTAAAAGCACATGCTCGTAGCAAGCCTGTCTCGGCTGATGTTGATTTGGATGCACTTGCACGTCGTGCTGAATGCAACAATCTCACTGGTGCTGACCTAGCATCACTGGTAATATTTGTGATATTCCATTGAACAGTTGTTCTTTATGTTGCCCAAATGGAGCACTAGTGCTTCAGTTTGCACAATGAATTCAATCTAGCTTAGTCGAAAAGATATCTGTATCAAACTAATGTGCTTCTTTCATCAGGTCAATGAAGCAGCCATGGCAGCATTGGAAGAGAGATTGGAATTCCTTGAGAACGGGACATCCTCAATGAGTTCGTCTTGTTTGATTGAGATCTCGCACTTTGAACGCGCTCTATCGAAGATTAAGCCATCAGTATCTGAACAGGTATAGGCAAATGCTAGAATGACTTCCTGATGTCAGTGCTAATTTTTCAGCTCGCCGTTGTGCTTCTGTCTCGCCTATTTCTCCCTTTGACCTTGTTCTCTTTTGCTGCAGCAAATCAAACATTACGAGGCGTTGTCAAAGAGATACTCGTCAAACTGATCTATCACCATGTCTCCATCTTGGTGTGTATATACCATGTTTGCAAGGCGTGCACCGTCACCAGCGTACCCATTTCTGAAGTGCATAATCTCGTGTGAGCTCTTGCGGGAGAATAGATATAGAATCCTCCTACATTTCTTTTTCTCGCAATCAGTTTTGTGGAAAATGTATTGTCTGTACTTTTTAGCCATGGAACAATGTTTTCCTCTCACAACATTTCAACATAAGCCAAATCTCAACATAAGCGAACAGGGTGCACCGTCACCAGCTTACCATTTCTGAAGTGCTTAATCTCGAGTGAGCTCTTGCTTGTAGACATAGAATTCTGTATTTTCTCGCAATCAGTTTTGTTTTCACTTACCAATTTTGTATGACCTCATCAAGATACATCATCCACGAATGAGTTCTAATTCAATTCAATCATGCGTGAATGAAAGTGAAATATGGCAAGAAATTGTTTTTCGCTACTAGTTCACTTGTCCCTCAGCTACAGTTGTGTATGAGTTCCATTGGCCTCAGCAGCAGCTTCAGGCTTGGCGGTGTCCAGTTTGTCCAATGCCGCCCAGAGCTTGGGATCTTCGTAGTCCCTGATAACGAGCGTGGCGCCGACGGCGAGAAGCTTGCTCTCCCGGCTCTCCTCGGCGATGGCAACCACGGGCATCCCTGCCGCAACGCCAGCCTGCACGCCAGTGGTGGAGTCCTCAAACACGATGGCGTGCTCCGGCGAGACGCCGAGCAGGTCGAGCGCCCTGAGGTACGGGTCCGGGAAGGGCTTGAATCGCTCGCACTCCTCGGCGGTGACGACGAGCTGGAAGAAGTCGGAGAGTCCGAGGATGGAGATCATGAGCTCGGCGTTGGCCCTGGGCGCGTTGGTGACGGCGGCGCGCTTGAGCCCGCGGTCGGCGGCCCAGCGGCAGAGCGGCGTGAGGCCGGCGATCTCCCGGAGCCCCTCGCCGGCGTACCTGGCGAAGAGCGCCTCTTTCTCGGCGAAGAAGGCGTCAAGCCGCGCCTGGTCCCAGTCCGGGAACAGGAAGCGGCCAATCTGCTGGTTGCTCCGGCCGGCCATGTGCGCCATGCCGAACTCCTGCGTGATGGGGACGCCGTTGTTGTAGCCCACCTTGAGGAGCATCTCCGAGGTGGCCCTGTGGTGGAACGGGTCGGAGATGGCCATGGTGCCGTCGATGTCAAAGAGGACGGCTTCCAGGGGAGCCACTCTGCCGATCCCACTGCAACCACACACAGAGACAGAAGAGATCAACTGGGATGGCCATGGTTGCAGAGAACTTGGTTGGATTGAAATGAAATCTTGACAGTCTGTCTCTGGGGGGAATAGAACTGAATGAAATCATGCAGAAAATACTCTAGATGATGATGGTTGTGAGCAGGGTTACCTTTCCATGGCCGGTTGCTGCTGGATGCCAAACTGGGGCTTCTTTTGATCTTGTGGTCACTGCTGGAAGTGCTGATGCTGCCTGGACATTTTATAAGGAGAAGACTGAAGACTGGAGAGGGAAGGTTGGTTGGTGAGGATTCGGTCGTTCAATTGGCGCGGTTGGTGGCTGCAAGTCCTCATCTCATGTTCCACACCTTTTTCTTCCTTTTGACCAGTGGCTGCCTTTCCAAACGGCGTTCAAATTTTTTGTTATTTTTTGGACTCTCTAACTCAAGTTTACGAGCCCATATCAAAATGCTGCATAGCCACATAAAGGCAGAAACCACTTTCAACACGGTTTCCGTAGCCACAGCTAGAGTTCAAAATGAAAACAATGATGAATTTGACAAACAATCAGCATGGTGGGTTTCAACACATTTTCCCGTTGGGAGGGAGTTTCCATCTCATCTTTCTTTCAGATTAAAGACTACTCAAAGACTGCTGAAGCAACAAGTCAATATACAGAGATGGTACGCAACAAGGCGCAACAGCTTTGTTATTGTCACAGAGCGAGTCCCATACTCGCATCCACCAAACAATCGTAACCGCTGGCAGAAGATTCCTGAGTTCTTATTTGGTCTCAGTTTCATCAAGAAGAAAGAAATAATATACCAAACTAGAGTCTCAAAAATACCTGATGAGCTCTCTCTGTGGTTACTCGCAGTCACAGCTGCAACATAACTAGGACCAGAAATGTGTTCTAGCCAAATTTGATTAGCGATAAATCTAGTTAATGAATTGTTCATCATCATATCATATCATGCGCTGCCCTTCTTCAGCTTAGCTTCCTCTCTGTCGATCTTTTCAAGCGCTGCCCAGAGCTTAGGATCTTCATAATCCTTGATGAGCAACGCGGCTCCTGCTTCCAGCAAGGAGTTCTCTGGGTTCCTTGTCGCTAAACCAACGACAGGCATTCCTGCTGCGACCCCTGCCCGTATACCAGAAGGAGAATCCTACACCAACCAAAATCTCTCATCAGTGACTACTACTATTTTTTTTATGGTCGACAGAGGGGGGAGAGAATCCCCCACCTGGATATTATATCAGACCACAAAATTCCAGTCATAAAGCTGTGTTTGGTTTACCTCAAAGATGAAGGTGTGCTCTGCAGACACCCCAAGCTCCCTGAGAGCCTTGAGGTAAGGGTACGGCGCTTTGGCTGCTCACATTCACCTCCGATGATAACAGCCTGGAAGAAGTCTGAGAGGCCCAGAAGGGAGATCATGAGCTCCGCGTTGATCCTTGGGGCGTTGGTTACTGCTGCGCGCTTGTACCCGTGGTCTTTGACCCATTGGACCACTTTCCCGAGGCCCTTTACAGGTACCAAGCGCTCTTTTGCCAAACTGAAACAAGGGAACAGCTAGAAACATTCACTCTATCGTGTTATTGTAATGACTAATGAACCTATCAGTTCTCTGATGTAATGCAATGATTATTAAAGGATCACATTCAGCAGCAAACGGGTGCTGTAAGAAATGACAAAACCCTCAACAACCTAGTGTAGTACCAAATGCTGGCATCGCTCTGTGAGTAGCAAATGGATGTTTTTCACGTGACATGGCTCAATTCGATGTTTTTATGTGCTACATATATGGTACACGAACGAGCTGCTGCTGTAATAATGGATAACACTCTGATTCTCTGAATCATTTAGTTATCTTTTTTTGCGAGGACATTCAGTTATCTTGATGATACTGAGGAAATCACAAGTATGTACCTTCTGTATTTAGCTTCCTTGTCATCCAGGAATTTGAGCCCCTTCTCAAGGGGCCAATCCGGGAACAGGTTCTGGGCAGCTTCGACGTCACTCCTCCCAGCGATATTCTTGATGAAGAACTCGTCATCTATCGGCACACCGTTGTTGTACCCGATCTGCGTATGCCAGCCATTTGGTGAATCAAATCAAATCACATCACATCACATCACAGCTTTGTTGGTTAAAGAAAGTAAGAAACATAGACGAAAGAAGTGTGTAGGAAATCCATCCATTCCACCGTACCTCGAGAAGCAGCTCTTGGAAAGCGAGATGGTGGAGGGGATCCGAGTCGCACAGCGTCCCGTCGATGTCGAACAGAACCGCCTGGACGGGAACAGTTGTCGCGAGGGAGCTGCAGACCATGCCCAGCATTTGAATCATCAGATGTTCAGGAACTTGGAACAAGTGTGTGTGTGTGATAAATCTGACGCTGCAAGTTGCTAACTTGCATCGCTCGATGGTAGTCACTAGTCACGCAACACGACGGTTTCAGAAGAAGAGCAGAAACAGCATGTAATGATGTTCACACGAACGGCAGTATTTTATATTGACCAACCACGCACAGACTTTGAACGAGTGGTTGGTAAATCTGAAACTGTAGCGAACTAACGTTAATTGGATGGCGTTGTGTTCACCGTTGACAAAGAAAAGAAAATGAATGAGCTTTTGATACCCAACACAGATCGCCGTTGTGTCCTTTACAGAGTGTCAGAGTAATAACAACAAACAAGAGCATTAATTAGGTTTAATAGATTCACCGCATGACGAAGCAAAACACGCGGATTGATGGCGAGAAGAATCTAGCTAGCGATGCCGTTGTTGTTGGGAAAAAAAGAAGAAAAAAAAAGCAACAGCAAAGGAAATTAAAAGGAAGGGGAGGGAGCCCGACCTGACAGTGGGATTGCCATTGGGGGCGGGAGCGGCCATGGGCGATCGAAGCGGACAGGGGCTGGGGAAGAGGACCGGCCGGCGGGCGGGGGCGAGAGAGACGAGCAGCCCAGAGAAGCCTCTCTGGATCGATGGAGGAGGCAGCCGCGCCGATGGCCGATGGCCGATGCGATGGGTTTCGCGAATCTGCCGGCGTCCGCGTGCGGGACTCCCGTGGCGCGAGCTTATTATACACAGACTGGCCTTTTTTTCTCTCCGATCCAGGGAATTTTGGATCTCTCTTGGTGTCCCCCTGTTTTTTGCGGTGTGGCCCGGCCCGGCCGCTTCGCCTCGTTTCGTCTCGCCTTGGTTTCCTGCCTTTGGGCCCCACCCCACGGTGACACTTGTCCATCCTTCTGCCGCAAATCAGCTGACCCATGCCCATCCTTCTGTTGCAAATCATCAGCTGAAACTTGTCGTTCCTTTTTCTTCTTGTTCTGTTTTGTTCATAAATACTGTTCTAAAATAGATCAAATTTCCAGTTGTCATAGGTCAAGTTTGATTAAATTTATAGAAAAAAATATCGATATCTATACATGAAATTAGTATCACTAAATACATTATGAAATATGTTTCCATAATCCACTTACTTTATGTCATAGGCTCATAGCTGATGTTATTCTTCGCTATAAAGATAGTCAAGCTCAACATAGTATGACTTAGCGTGATTCTAAGAGTTACTCTAATTTATTTTATGACGAAGTAAGTATAATGTAGGCTCCGTTCAGTGCTGATCCCTGCAGCTGCAGAAGCAGTACCTCTCAAGCATAGTATTTTTTTTCCATTGTAGTGAGACTTACGACAACAGCAGCAACGGCTACCGATCAAGCTCATAAATATACTACAAACCGAGTGTTTCTTCAAACAAACTAATGGGAATAGTCAAAGCAAAATAAACTTCACATATATATTCTTTTTGGGTTGGGCCCTATCTCCCACTCTCCCAGGCATGGCGACACATGTCAATTCATCTACCGCTCCAAATTAGCTGCAGCAGTAGTACTTTGCATTTTTTTTTTCTATATGCATCTTGGAAAGCTTGCAAAAGTCCGGTACACTCGTTGTCCACGTGCACGTCGTCATATGCCACTGAAAAAAATATAACACATATTAAACCAAAAAATAAATTCGAGAATAGTTTGCGGTTTTGCACTGTGTATTCAAGCAAAGTACTGCTTTCTTCCCTTTCTTCTTCATATTCTTCAGCTTTCACATTTTGTCTTACCCAAAAAGAAATGATATCCCTACAGTTGGCTGCTGACCGTACTTTTCTCCTCACAACAACAACAGCAACTAAAGGAAAAAGGAAAACAAAAATAAAAGGACAAGGCACAACCTCCAGCCTTAGCCGAATATGCCTTAGTTGTACCTGTTATTGAGATCCTGAAACGCTGTCTGCTACCAGCATCAGATTCCGTCGCACAAAATTGAAGAACTGGATATGCTATACCTAGGATGAAGATTCTTTGCGACCCATACTGTACTTTGTAGCAATAATAACAATAATAAATTTGTTAGGAGCCCAACCAACTTTATATATCACCAGCATACGGGACACCAGCGTCTAAAGTCTATACAAGGACATAAAAAAAGAATTCAAATCAACCACAGTTTATAGGAACGACAAATCCACCCACAGTCTTTTTACAAATCCATCACAATTCAACAACACCAAATCCACCTGCGTCTTTTAATTTCCACCCCTTTTGTAACATCGTCCCGTCTTCCTTGTGCAGCACAAACATTGATGAGGTTATCTGAATCTCTGAGCACCTTACAACGACCAAGGACATCATATCCATCAGACAAACATTGTGCTCAATCTGTCACATGTGTTGTACCCGATTCAACCAATGATGTTCTTTCATTGATGCAGATGTGTTTCGACCCGATGTGGAATATTGGATCTCGCGGCATGTCCAAGGTTTACAGCTAATCAACGGGTTCATTGTTCTATGGTGACCTGTTCATCCAGAGTATCGCCCAAAGTTGGGCATTAGGAAAGAAGATGCTAGGAGGTACCTAGATAAAATGTTATATCCTTTTTTATTTAGGTTTTTTAATGACTAATTTGAGGATGTGCTATGCCACATTTTAATATAATTCTTCTTCCATTTGCAAAAAAATATTGTATTCACATATGCCTTGTTGCTTTTTCTTAGAAAAAAAATACCTTGTTGCTTACACAATAGCACAATAATTGTATGAGCGTATAAGTTCTTCATGCATCCCTTCTTCCTACCTCATGAGTTACACCTTTCAAAATCACACATACAACATTGTTGATACAAGTAACTCTGATTCGCCCTATACCTTTTATATACTATACTCTCCCTTGTGCTCACGGTGTTTGTTCATATGGTCCTCAGTCTCGCATATGCCACTTCTTGTGTATTCAACAATTTTGTGGGTTGCCAAATCAGTTGAGATTTTAGAGGAAACTGAAACATGAAGCTACCAGGGAACACTACAACTCATTTATCAAATACAAAAATATCTAGCATGCGTACTCCGATAGGCTTTGATGTATATGCCAGTTTACTAGCTTAGTTACAATAACGCATCATATCTAGCTAGCTGCCAACTTGCAAAAACATGCTAGTGGTATATGTTGTTGTATTGAGTACCGAATGAATGCAATGATCGCCTACATTTTAATTTATTATCTTGCAAAACCTAGCGAGTGGTATTCAAAAACAATTATATCTTTAGTGGGGAGAGACCAACTCGAGGTTCTTGATACTGATAAGATTGTTACGAGATTGTTACGATGAGTATCTTAGGTAGGATCATTTGTTCCCTCACGATATTGGATTGTACTATCCGGGATCTTGTTGGATTCTAGTAAATATATTTTTATATATATAAGATTTGCAATATGTTCTGGAGATTTATTTTGAGACCTATAATATTGGATTTGATTAATTAATTGACTTTTTCTATAACTTTAGGTGGGTTTCTTGACAATATTTTAAATGTACATAAACTTTGAATTTATCATAACAAAATCAATAAAAAGTAATTCATATAAATTATTATGTTGTATTATAGGATCGTAGTATCAGAGTACTCTGAAATCCCATGTAGAATCGTATGAGAACTTTCATATAGGATCGGTATATGATGAAAGTTAATTACATGATATGATTGATATTGTTTTGGTTTGAAAGCAAGGATCGTACTATTGTCAAATTTTGGGATACGGATGGGTATCCTGACAAACCTTGTTGTTGGTGCGCTACAAGCCTACAAGGAGTAGAGTCGTAGAGAAGAGCAAGGTGCGGCCACAGAGGCTTAGCTGCGAGGCAGACGGAGAGATTACCAACAGATTATGGAGCAAAGGTATAAAACATTTTATTGACAAAATAAGCATCAGGGTATCTTACCCGATCAATATATAAAGAAAAACAAGAACTAGTAGAGAAAAAGACCAAGTGGAAAAAAGAAAATTACAATTTGATAGAAGTTTCCTCCACAGTCTATTTGGATCCACCAACTACACTTTAGCTGGCTAACTTTAGATCTAAACAGCACAGCTAAAATATCAGCTAAAGTTTAGCTCAGTTTAGCAACTTCAACCCAGCAAACCTAACAAAAGGTTTAGCTAAGTCTATTATGGAGGACCCAAACACTCTAAACACCACCGCCAAAATTTAGCTTGGACAGAACTTTTAGCTACCTAAAATTTAACTTTAAAATTTTAGCTACCTAAATTTTAGCACAGCCATAACCATTGCATTACCGCCGCACAACCTCGCTCACGCCGCCCCGCCCTATCGCTATCGGTCGGTCACCGCACGACGTCGACCTCGCCCTCCGGCCGCCGCGCGTGCTGCCCAACCTGCCTGGCGCTCGCACCGAGCGACCGGAAAGTCCGGAACGCACACTCGCGCCCGCTGTGCGCCGCCGCCGCTTGGGCGCATGCTGCTTGTTGATGCACGCTGACGCGTCCATGCACCACCGTCGTGCTGGCGTAAATGCTCGATCGCCCTGTGCCTGCGGAGGCCTGCTTGCTGCTGGCAAGTACGAACGTGCATGTAGCAGGACGCAAACGCGTGCTTAACTGCTTATTGTAGATGTGAATTAGTGCTTGCTGGAGTTGAGGATGCGATGAACGGGGGAAAACGATGGGAGAGAGAGACTTTGTAAATTTGGCTATTGATTTATAAATACTTTTTAGCAAGCATACACCTAAATAAATATATAACTAAGTTATACATGATCCAATGAGTATGAAATTTTTACTACAGTTCAAGCATACAATAGTTAGTCCACCATAAAAATTTCACCACAATTAGACCATAGAAACAACAAATATGAATTAATTATAAAAAAACATAGACCTAAAGCTACAGAAAAAATTATGCCAAAGCATATCATATTATATATTTATTGTGCAGAGCTATTCATGTGGAGGTCCAACAAAATTAGATTTTTTATTTTATGATTTTTCTATAATTTACTACGATTTTTCAAAGATTCAGCCGAAATCTCTATCTATATTCTACTCTACCTAGTAATAAAGAGACAAATTTTCAGGGTTCTTTTTTTGTCTGGCCTATCCAATTTTTATCCGGTAGCGTCCTGCGTATCAGTTTTCCAATTCAAAATCTGTTTTTTTCAAGTCCGTGTTCTATTTGTGTTTTTTTTTTCTCGACCGCGTCCTCCACTGGAAGTCCCGGAGCACTTTATTTCGGCCCTGTAAGGATGGCGAAATCCGAATCCGAATCCGAACCCGAAAAATGCACGCAAGACGCTCCTGAATCCAACAGAAATCCACTGCATCCACCGAACAATGACTTTGAGAGAACGAATTGAGAAATAGAAGGGAAGAAACACGAGACATCTAACCGAACAAATCGAATCAAAAACAGGCCTACCGACACAAAGAAGAGAAGCGGCGGGATCGAAGAAAGAAAGACGGAGTTCCTCGTTCGCGCAGACGCGCCGAGCTCAGGCGCCGCTGGCCTGCTGCCGAGGCACCGCTCGTCGCGGTCGCT